GTTTAATTTCTCAGAAAACTTGGTACCAAGTTGTTGGGGTTTGGCCAGAGACACAGTGGCAATTTTGTGGTATAAGGAAGCCTGAGAACACCATCAGGCCACTGATACATTTACTCAATGGACACAGGTTGACCTGCTGGCAGTACCACATCACCAAAATTTATTTAAAAAATTCTAAGTATTTGTTCACTAATTATAGATTGAAAATTGAAAATTTTCTATAATAAAAGTGACAATGCCATTGAAAAAATATAACAATTCTTGAGAATAATTAGTGACATATAATTAATTATTTTAATGGGATTATCATATTTGAATTATTTCCATTTAAAATGACATCATGAGGTTGTGAGGAGAAGAGGTTTGTAACATCAAAATTTAGCAACGGAGTCCAGGTAGGTTATCTACATTGTTCTTTTTTAAGTTATTTTTTATTGCAACCACGTGATTTATTGTTGTTCATAATACTGTTGTTTCAGGCATTAAATATTGCCACACTAGTGTGTCCTTCCATCCACCAATACCCGACTACCCCAGCCTGATAACTTGCAGGCACAATCAAATTTGCTTCCTCTTGTTTGTAGCAACAAAATGGCAAATGCAACTACCAAACTTCATAGCCAGTAAGAGTCAATTATTCCATTTCACAATGGTATTATTAAGGTCATTGAGGATCTGCTATGTGGCTGATTCTAGCTGAGCCTAGTGTTATTGCGGAGCCTTGTTGAGCTTCTTGGGCTTCTTTGCAACATTCCAATCAGATTTGCTCTATTCAACAGTACTATGAAATTCCGAGGTGCATGCATGGTTACACTGTTCTTGAGCTATAAATCTGGAATAATTTGGTGGCATAGCAGTTTGTGAGGTTTAGTTGTGAAACTGGGCCATTTCTAAGTCTGAGAATGTTGGTTCTGGTTGCGGGCTCTGGAACTTCTGAAAGAGGAGGAACCTACCTGACCCCATTATGAGAAGGTCCCAGTGTTCTCCGCCCAGACCAGTCTACTTGGGAAGAACTGGCGGTGTCATGTTCTCTTGTGATGCTGGGTTGTTTCCCTATTGGCAAGTCATCTACATTATTCTTAATGAGATCTAAGGTTTTAGTACTTGCTGTTGAGATGGAAGCAATTTATCAGTAAAGGATGGTCAAGTCTTTTGTACCAACACCTCCTCCCATAGCTCCTGTTTTCAAGGTATTTGCCAATAGACAAACTAACTTACAAACTAGAAAATCAGAGTCCTCTATATATTGTGTAGGTGTGCCTTCAACTCTCTTTCATTTCAAATCTAAGGATTTCCTGTTAAAATTTCAAGTGACACTTCAATAAGGAATCTAGTTTTTTTTGATTCTTGCTTTCCACTCTGAATCTTCACAAGTCAGTCTGTCCAGACCACAGACATTTCTCCCCTTGAAAGTTCTTTTCACACATGGTCTCTCTGTAAGACACACTTCACTTCCTGGGCAGCAGAAGGTATTTGGTGCTGCTCTTCTGTCTAGCAGTTCATGAAATACTATGAAAGCTAGAAATGAAACAATTGAGATACAGTTAATAAATGACCAAATCAAGCAGAACATTAGTATTTCTGTTTGAAAACTCAAGGTGGAAAAGAGATCTTGAGTTTATATTAAATATACAAAGGTTCTCTTCGTGATTCAATTTCCTGATTTTGAAGAATCAGTCGATTGTATATTCACATACATACCTGACTTTGTTAATCAATACAGTATATGAAAACTCCATATATATCATGGCAATGTGCAGTTTGTTTTGGTATTTTAAACAATTTGGCTTCTGTATGTACTCTAATTCTAGTTATACTTTTAAAAATATCTTGCTAAAGTGAATTTACCTGATCATACACATCAAACATAATATTTCATACATTGATTTATATTAACCAAAGTTATTTTAGCTCTTAAAAGTGGGATTATGAAGCTCCCACTAAGTTATTAAAAATCAAAAGACCTGGGCTGGAGCAATAGAACAGCGGGTAGGGCATTTGCCTTACACAGAGCCAACCCAGTTTCGATTCCCAGTGTCCCATATGGTTTCCCGAGCACTGCCAGGAGTGATTCCTGAGTGCAAAGCCAGGAGTAACCCCTGAGCATTGCTGGGTGTGAACCAAAAAGCAAAAAAAAAAAAAAAAATCAAAATACCTTAAAAAATATTGAACAAAGTATGATAAACATACATGTGTCACATTAACAAATGCCTCTCCTGTATTTTGAATCTCAAATATTGTTTATTATGAATAAGAAATCATAAATATTAATTCTGTGAATATATAAATAAAATCAGCAATACATTATTAAAATCTAATGAAGACAGTTAGTTCAATGTTTCACATGAAAAATAATCTACATGTTTTTTAATTCTTATTGTATTTGATATAAAATAAGCTGTGTTAACTCTTTTTAAACTCAAATCTCAGGATTTCCTGATCAAATTTCAAGTGACACTTCCATAGGGAATCTCACTTATTTTCACCCTTGCTTTTCATTCTGAGCCTTCACAGGTCAGTCTGTCCAGACCACAGATAGGCTGTACTAAAGAATAATGTGTAATCTTTAAATTTATTAAACATCAAAGGTTGCAAATATAAAAGTATGAATTAATCTTGTGTATCAGTTCAACTATTTTATCTGATGTATTTCAACTGATAATTTAATTGATAGGCCTGACAGCCAACATTATCTTTATGAAAATTTGAATAAACTATTTTATTCCATAGATAATCTTTCATTTGCTGAGGAGATATATATATATCGGCCATTGAATCAATTGCTAGCTTCTTAGGCAAAATACTATTTATAGTCATTAAAATAAATATTTAAGGTTTTCTTAAAAATATTTAAAGTAACTTTCTTTTGCTTGTTTGCTATCAATATTATCTCTAATGTTTTCCATTTTTTTATCTCCAGCAAGGAATAGTGCTTCAAATTAGAATATTTAAACCTAAAATATACTCTTTCATAATGCACATGTTTAATTCTTTAAGAAAGTCACAACTCAGTCTTTTCATTGTTAACCTGTAAAATAACTATTACTCAAGTCACCCCACCTACAGTGACTCTGCTAGGATCTTTTCCACACCCTCTATTAACTTCTACTTGGTAGTCAGTACCAAGCACTGTCTCTGCCTCTAAGCAGCTCAGGGATGAGGCGCCAAAGAGAAAACCACCCACAGTTCAATTTGCAATCAAGAAGACAGTTAATGAAAGGTAAGGGCACTAATAACTTCATTTGTGTAATGAACTAGTAGCAAATAAGCTGGAAGAATATCTTTAAAATGTTTCTCAGAACATTTAAAGGCCTCACAATTATTATCAGTGCAAAGATAAAGCCTTAAATAGACATTTAACTTTCTGGAATGAAAAATTGGGTGTGGAGGTGCAGGAAAAAAAAGGGAACGAGGCTTATATACTTTTCATTGATGGAATCAAAACTTGAAGAAGTTGGACTATCGTATTCTAATATGAAATCTAAGGAAGAATTTTACTCTGCATAGTAATTTGAAGACGTTAATTAAAAAAAATCTCTTGGAATATTGTATTTCTTGAAGATGCAGTGGTATTTTGTACAGTAGGATTATAATTTTCCCTAGTGCTTTGGTTAATGAAATGCCTGTGCCGTGATTTCTTATGAAAATAATTATATGATGACCATCATTTCTCCTTTTAGTGTGTTACCATTACTTCTGCAGATTTCCCCTTACCTCTGGAGCAGCTGACTGCTGAGGTCCTGGGAATTACTTGCTTGGTCTTGCTGTCTACCCTAGTGAAAATCATAATCCTTATTTCCTGTAAGAATATTTTAAGGGTGTCTGGGGTATGACTTAATGGGCAGGAGACAGGAGTAGCCCCTGAGCGTAATCATTTGTGCTGCCAAAACAAAATTTAAAAAACACAATTGAAAATTTTCAGGGAAAATGTTCAATTTAATAATTATCAATGCCTATATACATTTATAATATCATGAAAAAGAACTTATTTTATATATGAATTTAAACATACTGAGTATTCTAAATATAGTAAAAGTATATATATATAAATGCACATTCATTAAATTAATGTAAATTATCATCACATAAATATTTCATTGTAATTTATATTTATATTAAAATTATAGTTATAGAGCAACTGTAAAGATGTTATATATTAACTTATTTTATAAATTAAAAATGTAATACAATGGTAAAGGGAAATGTGTTTGATATTTGCATGACTGAGACCTAAACTTGAAAGCTTTGTAACATTTCCCACACTGATTCAATAAATAAATAAATTTTAAAAAATGCAATACAAGAATTAAATGTCTCATTGAGAAATGCATATTGCTTTTGATATATTTTTTTAAAATGTTAATGAAATACTATGAAGAGTCATAGTCGTATTCTATGCATATGAAATAGTCTGCCAAGTCTTCAACATTGTTATTTCATGGTCAAATAAGTTTTATCATGGTTATTTTAACCTAAAACAATTTAATTGATCTCAAATTGTGAGGCCAAAGTGGAATCATGACAGGCTCCATTTTAAGACAGAAACTCAGCAGGCTAAGTTTTGGTTTCCCCTATCAGAAAGTCCTGACTTCTCAGAAAAGAATATCATCCTGGGCAGATAAACTAACCCTGTTATTAGCCTATCAGAATAGGGGTGCATGGACAGTGGCTCCCAGGCAAGTAGAGAGGGTGGAGAGAGTGAAGTCACGGGAAAGAACTGAGACAAGAATTGGAAACATATTGTCAGTTCCTGGAAAAATGCTGTTATGTAACCAAACTCTAAATAGGTGCTCAGAAATGGAAATTGGAGTCGGGATCCTTGTCAAGACTCCACTGAATTAGATGAGACTTTGACCCTAGCTCAAACTAGCAATAAAGGGTGTCTTGCATTTGCATCCTCATGTCTGGTCTGGTCAATGTGAAAAGTGAAACTCCCTTCCCAGAACATAACAAAATTCAAAACTATATTTATCGTTATTATTCAAAATAATTTTATTTGGGGGGGCACCAGGACCAACGATCACTAGCTGCCAATCTGCCAAAATATTACGCTTCTGAAATATCTTGATGTGGATTCTGCATGTAAAGTAAGCAGGCTGCCTGTCTTGTGCCACTCACGGCAGAAGTCCCTTTTTAAAATAAATATTTATAGAATTACTTTCCATTTTTCTAGATACAGAAATTGAAATACCAGAGTTGAATAATGCATCACTAGTGACACGGACTCAGAAAGGTATATAATGCTCTTTAAAATTCTAATAATATTACAATTTATGATTTTTTCTTTTTTTTTCCACGAAAGATTTTATAATAGTAAGGCAAAGATCTTTCATTTCAATACAAGTATCTATAGACTAGTGTCAATTGATTATTTTGAATTTATAATAAGAATATACATAGAGTACTTTACAGAATATTTTTTATATCTATACTTTATAATAAAAACAAGCTTTAGGATACTAAAAAACCTTATTGGAAATGTAAATAATTTTTTGAACTTCGTTAACACAAATACAGAGGGAGCTGTGACTTCATTTTTTTAAGTATTTTTAAAAATATTTTTCCACTCAATACTTCTATTGTTTTCCTTAGGGCTGGAGCAATAGCCCAGCGGGTAAAGCATTTGCCTTGCCCGCTGCCAACCTGGCCGACACAGGTTTGATTCCTCGGCCCCTCTCAGAAAGCCCTGCAAGCTACCAAGGTTATGTCTCTTGCAGGGCAAAGTCTAGCAAGCTTCCCCTGATGTATTCAATATGCCAAACACAGTAACAAGTCTCACAATGGAGATGTTACTGGGCCCGCTCAAGTAAATCGATGAACAATGGGAGGACAGTGCTAGAGTACTAGTAAAATTAACTTAATCTTTCTGCTCTTCTCTCTCTGTCCATATTCTTCTTAGAATTAGTACCCTCCCTCAATAATACTATTTTACTTTGCACACAATTTTACTGCATATTATTCTAAAAGTGATGGCGAAATTATTCAGCCTTGGAAATTGTTTATTTGTGGCTAATGTAGATACATAGAGTGGGAATTTTGAGTGAGGTATTTGTCTTATATTGACATGTAAATTAAGGGATGAGAAACTGACCCTTACTGGGAGTGTTTGCATGAGACTTGTACATTGTATGTGTCACATCCTGACAGTGCACAATATGTAATATACAAACATGTTTTTACCTACTCACATGTGGCAGATCCATTTGATATTCGTAATTCAACTTTTCTATTAATAGCTCAAGGTAACTCTCTGGTGTCTCATTGCGCTCGTTGTCCTCCTGAGGGATTTACATATTCCAACAATTGCTATTATACAACGGATGAAAAAATGTCATGGAATGAGAGTGTGATGGCCTGTGCTTCTCACCAGTCTAACCTGCTTTATATAGAAAGCGAAGAAGAAATGGTAAGAGTTTAATGTTTCGAGTACTTTACAAAAGATATTTCAGTTACTACTTATTCATCTGTGCATATTTTATTGTATATTTTATACACTGCACAGACTGACTTTTTTTTTTTTTTGCTTTTTGGGTCACACCTGGTGATGCTCAGGGATTACTCCTGGTTCATGCACTCAGGTAATACTCCTGGCGGTGCTCAGGGGACCATATAGGATGCTGGGAATTGAACCCGGGTCGGCCGCGTGCAAGGCAAACGCCCTACTCGCTGTAATATTTCTCCAGCTCCTGCACAGACTGACTTTTAATATTTCTGTCATGCGGTTTTCTTTCATGTCATAATGCACATTTATCATTCTTATTTTTTCTCTAGAAAGACATGTTTTTCACAAATGCTTTTAAGTTTTTCATTACATTAAAGCTAATTAATAATTATAATATTTCTCATATTATAGCCATTTATTGTCATTTAAGTGGATTTAATTAGTTTTAAATGAATCAAGTATTGTGTGTTTTTAAGTGCAATAAGAAATTAGCACATTTTTTCAGTCTGCCAGTGACATAAGTAAACCTCATGTTTCAAAGAAGGCAATTCTGTCAGTCACTCTCTTATCATCAAAAAGTCAAATAAGAATCTTGGATAGTGAAAGCAAATTATGAATACTATGTTCAAAATGATATATTTATAAATATTTTACAAACTTTATGAAAATAGATTTTATAAAGTAAATAAAAATTTAAAAAACACCAAGTTGGTAGAACATAGAATTCTTTTTCCACCTTATTTCAGATTTTCTTCCTACCCCACCTTCTCATACAACCATAGTTCTCTCATCATTACCCACTACTTTGTCTTTTCACTGTGCTTTCTCTGTGCATTAATTTTTTTCCTAATTTGGACATATGCAAAATCTTCCAATTGTCTTTTTCCTTCTGATAATTCATATAGAATAATTCCATGGAATTCATTTCATTTTGTTTGTCAATATTAAAGTTCCATTTTTTAAAAAATAGTTACGCTGCATATGTTTGGATAAGTGTACGACATCTACTTTACCTGGTCATATTTGCGCTACACTTTAGTTGTTCATATTTAGTTATTTTAAATAACATATATCAATAAACTTGGGAGAATATAACCTTTGTGTTAATGTTTTATCTTCTTTATGCTGATATGCAAATGTGAGATTACTAGATAATTCAGTGTGAGTCTCTTTAGTTCTTGGAGGTAATATTATAGTAAAGCTTTAATTATTGTTAGTTTGTAGTAGAGATTAAAATTAAGAAGTACAATAAAATGCTTAATATTTCTTCTATCTTAGACTTAATTCTATCTTAGATCTTAAAAGGCCCAAATAAAGGCCCTCCCGTTGATCATCGATTTGCTCGAGCGGGCCCAGTAACGTCTCCATTGGAGACTTTGTTGTTACTGTGTCTGGCATATCGAATACTCTCGGTAGCTTGCCGGGCTCTCCGAGAGGGGCGGAGGAATCGAACTCGGGTCGGCCATGTTGGCCGCTTGTAAGGCGAACGCCCTACCCGCTGTGCTATCACTCCAGCCCTAACATCTTAGATCTTAATTCTTAGAATTTCCATACCCATATAAGACTTTTTTTATGATTCTATGTAAGCATCAGTACTTTTTGTCCTATGTCCTAAAAATGTAATTGTTGGTACTAAAAAGGCAGTACAGCAGGTAAGATGCTTGACTTACACTGCACATGATTTACCCAGCACCACAAAACCAAAAAATCTTCACATTTTTGTAATTTTTAATAAAATTGCATTAAATTTACATGTTGCTTTCAGTAAAATGGTAGTTTTAATATATAAATTTTCACTATCTGCATACAAAACTATCTTCTCACCAATTTTGTTTATGTAGGAAGTCTTGAGAACTTTAAGGTATCCTGATTCTGTCCTCAGGAATTAATTCCTGGCAGATCTTGGAGGATTGAATTTAGTGCTGAGATTAAAGTGGAACTGATTCGTGGGATTCAAGCATCTTAACCACTACAATCTCTCCAGTTCAAACTCCTACATCTTTTAATGTTTTTTCCATTGTCATTAGTGTCCTGTATTAATTTCATAAGTTTTTTCAACACATTTTATGCATTTATCCCTTTGTTAATTGTTGTATTCAATTGTAAATAGAATTTTTTTTAAAAAAAATATTTCTATAACCATTCATGTTCTATGCCCACTGAATGCTTCTGTAGAGCAGTAGGGCGTTTGCCTCGCATGCAGCCAACATGGCCGACCTGAGTTCGATTCCTCCGCCCCTCTCGGAGAGCCCAGCAAGCTACTGAGAGTATCTCGTCCGCACGGCAGAGCCTGGCAAGCTCCCCATGATGTATTCGATATGCCAGACATAGTAACAACAAAGTCTCCAATGGAGACGTTACTGGGCCCGCTCGAGCAAATCGATGATCAATGGGAGGACATTTACTTTACTTTTACTTTACTTTAAGACTATTGAGTAATACTATCATATAATTTGCACATAAGAATGGATTGAATACTTTTCTGAAGGGGATGTTTGGGTAACACCTACTGGTGCTCAGGGATTATTCCTAGCTCTGTGCTCAGGGATCACCCCTAGCTGTGCTTCGGGATCTTTGTAATGCCAGAGACTAACCAGGGTCAACTGCATTACAAGCGAGTATCTTCATCTCTCTTATCCTACTTTAATTCTTATTACTTTTTTTGTTTATTAATTATGTGTTTTCTATTTGATCTGGTTAATACATCTAATATCCAACTAAATAAAAGTAGTAATAAGAGATAATTTCATCTTATTCCCAATATTAATAGGAAAACTTAAATTGAAGAGAAAAATGGGGCCAGAGAGATGCTACTGGGATTTCAGCAAAAGTCATGCATATATACTGCTCAGGTTCAATCTCATGGTTAAAAAGCATTGATGGTGTCAGCCGGGAGCCCTCTGGGCACTAGATAATCTTTGGTCCCATAGAACCTAAGTAGTATAACATCCTCAGGCTCTCCTGATGATCTGCCCAATCTACTTGGCTGGGCATATTTGGGAGGGGCCTTCGGAATTCCTGAGCATTATCTTGGGATTCCTGTATAAAAAATAAACAACATAATAAAACATTCTGTTAATTGTGATTTCTACAACTTTATTTTCGACATATAATTGACATTATATAGGATGTTATAATACGACTTATTCCAAAAGTTTATGCACACTTGAAACATTTAGAATACAGTATTATCATACCACACCTATCATCACCAGGACAATGTATATCCAGTACAATCCACTAGACCATTTTCAACAGCTCCTTCCCATGTGGTGATATAAATTTACAATATTTTTCTTTAGAAAGGATTTCTGTTCAGATATGATTCTATTTATAAAGATACATAGATCTGTTATTTTTTCACTTACTGTTAGCAACAGTTGCTTCAGTGTTGGGATGTTAATTGAATTTACATATTGTATATATACATTTTTATAAAAAATCTGAATTTTCCAAAAATAAAAACAAATATGTGCCCATATTGAATTCACTGCTACAACTCTAATATAGATTATTCAAAGTGTTCACAGATATGCAAATGTGCACAGACATATTCATTTAATCGTGTTTGTATTTAGTGTATTTTTCAAAAAAATCTTTTCACTTTTAAACACTGAGTTTTTACTTGCTATGTCTAGAGTATGTGTCTTTATTGTTCCTAGGTATGTACCTTCTATCAATATTTTATTTTGT